TCATATGCATGTGAGAGCTGGACAATGAATAAGGAAGACCGAAGAAGAATTGATGCTTTTGAGCTGTGGTATTGGTGGAGAATGCTGAAATTACTGTGGACTGACAAAAGAACTAAGAGGTCTGTCCTGGAGGAAGTGCAGCCAGAATGCTCCTTGGAAGCAAGAATGGCCAGACTTTGTCTCACATACTTTGGTCATGTTGTCAGAAGGGACCATTCCGGGGAGAAGAATGTCATGCTTGGTAAGGTGGAGGGTTGACGAAAGAGGGGAAGGCCCTCAACGAGATGGCTTGACACAGTGGCAGAGGCAATAGGCTCAAGTATAGCAAGAATCATGGAACTGGCTCAGGACTGGGTGGTGTTTCATTCCGCTGTGCATAGGGTCACTATGAGTTGGAGATGACTTGATGGCACCTAAAAATAGCAACAATATTTGGCCTGTGCCATACAACAGACAAGTGTTGTACAATGATAGTAGATTATCATGAACTTAACCATATGGTGACTCCTATTGCAGCTTCTGTTACAGGAGTGATTTCATTGCTTGAGCAATTAATTAATTAACACATCTCCTGGTATCTGGTATGCAATTGATCTGGCCAATGGCTTTTTCTCAATTCTGTTTTTGACGGATCACCAGAAGCAGCTTGCCTTAAACTGGCAAAGCCAGCAATACACCTTTATGGTTCTACCTCAGAAGTGTATCAACTCTCCAGCACTGTGGTGTACTTTAGCATGCAGGGACCTTGATCTCCTTTCCCTTCCATAGGACATCATACTGCTCCATTACATTAATGACATTATTCTGACTTGACTTAGTAAGAAAGAAGTATCAATGACTCTGAACCTATTGGTAAGACATTTGCATGCTAGAGGGTGGGAAATTAACACGATAAAAATTCAAGCATTTTCTACCTCAGTGAAGTTACTAGGGGTCCAGTGGTGTGGGGATGTCGAGATTTTCCTACAAAAGTGAAAGATAAGTTATTGCACCTGGCCACTCCCACAAGTGAAAAAGAGGTGCAATGCCTGGTAGACTTTTTAGATTTTGGAAGGAACATATCTCTCATTTATGTATGCTGCTCTGGCCAATTTATCAAGTGAATAGAAAAGCTGCTAATTTTGTGTGACTCTCAGAACAAGAGAAGACTCTGCAATAGGTTCAGGCTATTGTTCAAGCTTTTCTACCACATAGGTCATATGATCTAGCTGATCCAATGCTGCTTTAAGTGTCAGTGGCAGATGTAGATACTATTTGGATTCTTTGGGAGGCCTCTGTTGGTGAATCACAGCATAAACTCTTAGGATTTTGGGCCCAAGCCCTGCCATCCTCTGATGATAACTACTGTCCTTTTGAGAAACAGCTTTTGGGTTGTTACTGGGACTTAGTAGAGACTGAGTGCCTAACCATGGGCCACCACACCGCCATGTTGCTTGAGCTGCGCATTGTTAACTGGGTGTTGTCTGACCCAGAGAGTCATAAAGTTGGATGTGTACAGCAGCACTCCATCATTAAATGGAAGTGTTGTATAAGAGATTGGGCTCAAGAAGGACCTGAAGGCACAAGTAAGTTACATGAGGAAGTGACCCAAATCCTTATGGTCTCCACTCCAGTCACATTACCTTCCCTTTCCCAGTCTACTCTGTGAGGCCATAGCCCCATGGGGAGTTCTTTATGATCAGTTGACTGAGGAGAAAACTCATGCCTGGCTTACAGGTGGTTCTGTGCAATAGCCAGGCACCACTTGAAAGTGGACAGCAGCAGCACTGCAACCCATTTCTGGGACCTCCGTGAAGGACAGTGGTCAAGAGAAATCCTTCCAGTGGGCAGAACTTAAAGCAGTACATCTTTGCTTGGAAAAAGAAATGGTCGGATGGGTGTTTGTATACTGATTCACTGCCTGTGGCCAATGGTTTGACTGGCTGGTCAGAGGCTTGGAAAGGACATTATTGGAAAATTGGTGACAGAAAAGGTATAAGAAAGAGGTATGTGGATAGACCTCTCTGAATCGGCCAAAGTGAAGATATGTGTATCTCGCATGAATGCTCACCAAAGGGTGACCTCTGCAGAGGAGGATTTTACCAATCAAGTGAATAGAATGACACATTCTGTGGAAACCAGCCATCCCCTTTCTCCAACCACTCCTGTCATTGCCCAATGGACTCATGAACAAAGTGGTCATAATGGCAAGGATGGAGGTTGTGCATGTGCCCAGCAATATGGGTTTCCACTACATTGGCTGCAGTATCTGCTGAGTGCCCAAAATGCCAGCAGGAGAGACCAACACTGAATGTGTGACATAGAACCATTCCTTGAGGCAATTAGCCAGCCACATGGTGGCAGGTTGATTACACCAGACCACTGCCATCGTGGAAAGAGCGGCATTTTGTTCTTACTGGAATAGACACTCTGGATATGGATTTACCTTCCCTGCATGCAATGCTTCTGCCAAAACTACCATGTGTGGACTTACAGAATGCCTATTCAATGTCATGGTATCCCAAACAGCATCACCTCATATCAAGGGACTCACTTCACAGTAAATGGAATGTGGCAATGGACCATGCTCATGGAATTCACTGGTCTTACCATTTTCACCATCATCTGAAGCACATGGCCTGGTAAAATGATGGAATCATTCTCTTATACACCATTCCCATTTAAAGACACAATTATGGTACCACTTATGTGACAATACCTTGCAGGATTGGAGCAATGTTCTCCATGAGGCTGTATATGCTCTAAACCAGCATCCAATATATGGTGCTGCTTCCCCAATAGCCAGGACTCATGGGTCTAGGAACCAAAAGATGGATATGGGAGTGACACCACTCACTGATACCCCTAGTAACCCACTCACAAATTTTTTGCTTCCTGTTCCTGAGACCCTAAGCTCTGTGGGTCTGGAAGTCTAAGTAACAAAGGGGGGAATACTCCCACCTTGAAACATAATACTGATTGTAGTGAACAGGAAGTTAAGAATGCTACCTAGCCATTTGGGGATCCTCCTGCCTCTGGGTCAGCAGGCAAAGAAGGGAGTTACTATATTGTCTGGTGTGACTGATCCTGATTACCAACGGGAAATCGGATTCATATTACATAATGGAAGTAAAGAAGAGTATGTCTGGAATACATGAATATTATTATTATTATTATTACCAAGTCTTCTACCCCATATTTAGTAAGCTTATATTATTCTATTAGATATAGATCCTAAATAATTTCTTCAATCCTCCACTGTTAAGCATATAGGTTTTTTATTTTCTATTATAAACAGTATATTGGTGACCATCCTTGTGTTTGCATTTAATCATTCTTATTTCCTTAGAATACATTGTTTAAAAACTCAGATTACACATTAAAGTATGTATTAAGTGAATTTGCCACTGATCTCTTTCTATAATACAGATATTATTTACATGTTCTTGGAAAAGGAAATTTCAGTTAAGCTTGGAGAAATGAAAAATGAATTCATTGTTTTGTTTCTTCTTCCCTTATAGAAGAGACCAGTGAAGTTGTTCCAAATGAGGCAAGGGCTCATAAGGAGGAGGACCACCACGGAGTATCTGGAGATAATGTGGTATGTACATTTTGAAATTCTTTCCTCATTGCATGACAGACTTTTAAGGATATGTTTACAGTTGGTGACAGTATCAGCATTGTCAAAACTTCACAAACCAAAACAGAGCTGTTAGCAATGAAATTATATATCTTTGAAGACATAATTAATGAAATTTAAAATGCTGCCTTTTGTTCCTCAAAATTTTTTATTTAGGAGATGTGCAAATATAAAAACCTCACAGTGCTTGGTACACATATGGCATTTTATACATAACAAGTTATTTTTCTTAAACACCCTTTAGCAAAGAGCAGGTTTCTTCTTATTTGACAGATGGTAGAATTAAAACTGAGTTTAGCCTGAGATTATGAAGGAAGCTTTTGTTAGTTTTGAGACTTACATCCAAGGATTTGTAAATCTGAATTTTCCATTCAGATCATACCTATCTCACTATGTTTGCAACTTTTCATTCCTTTGAGTTAAATTGGAGTCTTTTAGTCATCTTTAAAATTGCAGTAAAAGGGGAAAGATAGTATTAGGAAACTGAATAGCAAGCAGGGGCAGGCTGTGTGTGGATTAAACTTGGATTTATGAAATGTAAACATTTTCGGTATATAGAAAGTGTTCTCTGAGCAGCTGTTTTAGAAGCATCTGTTTATATTTCTGATCTATCAAGTAATACAGAAATCGAAATGGCATTAAACTGAAGTCAGGCGTACAGAAAAATGCCAGTCTGCTTTTGTTTTGCTTTTGATTCAGTGTTTTGTTCCTCATTGCAACCTTTAAAAAATAACCCATATAATGGATTTTTTCTGTTTCAAAGTAGCTATCACTTCTAAATTTACCCTGGTTTCTATTACAAACATTATATATTTGACACTTTAATCCTGTTATATCTTCTTAGTAAAAGTTAAGAATCAAATGGTTTCATTCTTTCACTTATACGTCAACAACATATAAATAAGTATTTCCCAAAGCAGAATACAGTGTGAGATTGCATTTTAATTATTTCAGTCCTGGTTTTGGTCGAAGCCTGATCATGAACACTAAATTCAACAGGTATACAGAAAAACAAGTTTTTATTTTGAGACAAAACCATGGTTTCATCAGATAGCTAGTAATGATTGTTTTTACCATTACGAACTGTGCTAGTGTTAAACTGCACCAAGTAATAATCTTCTGCTATAGACTTGACCTGTAGTCTACAATAAAAAATTGAAGATTTACCAATTGAAACCTCTTTCCCTTTAAAGACATGCTCATTTCTAGCCTGAATTCCTCTGCATTGTATTTCCCCTGAAGATGTTTGAAGATAATGAATGAAGTTGTGGCATGAGATGACTCACAATTACTTGCTGTTGTTGTTATGTGCCGTCCAGTCGGACCAACTCGTAGTGACCCCTCCTTGGGTTTCCGAGGCAGTATCACTA